CGGGCTTCTGTGGTTACTAAGGAGCTTTTTTGCTATAACTTTTTTAGCTTTTGCTTTTGCCTTGGTAACCTTAGGTTTTATTATTATAAGCAAGGGAAAATTAAAAAAAAAAAAAGAAAAATTACCTAATATAAAATGTTTTTATAATTTTAAAGATTATTTTTAAAAAATTACCAATATATTTTTTATTTTTTTACTAAACACAAAATCTTAACAACAAAGCAAGCATAATTTATTTTTATTATTAATAATTATACAATTTTTAAGTACTTAATTTAAAGGCTAGCTAGCAACATGCAATTTTTCAAAAAAAGGTAAAAATAAAAACAGTGGTTAATGGACTATATATATTTATTTATTTATTTATTTATCTATTTATTTACACAGCCTGCTTTAACCTTAAAACCCCTGCATCCGCCTTAAGTTTTTTTTAGCCCTTTGCAAACATTAAGCCCCATAACTGGTGGGCCATAATAACCTTAAACAAAAAAGATGATTTTTGCAAGTTAGCAACTTTTTTTTTTATATCTTAACAATTTAAAAAGAAAACAACCTAATTTAATTTTTAAAGCTTTTATAAAAAAACAAGCTTACTTTTTTGGGCAGCTTTTTTTAATTTAAAAACCCAATAAAATTTATAGCAATTACTTTATGAATTGCCACATTGTTTTTACATATTTAAAAAAATTAAAAATATTTAAATTTAAATTGCCTTTTTTGGTAAAGGTCACTATTTTTTTATTTTAGGTTTTTATACTTTTAATTTATTATTTTATTTATATGTTACTTTATTTACAGTTTTTAGCCAATAACCCTTAGGGTTTTATTTTTTACACAATGCTCTCAAAATATTTTTAAGAACTAAATTATTTATTATGGCCAATTTAAATTTAGTGTGCTAATATACATTATACCATGTGCTATAGTTAATCACACATTTAATACAATTTATTTAAGCCTAAAAAGGTTTTTAGGCTACAATTTTTTTATAAACTTCATAACTGCTTTAACCCCTGCCTAAATAATTATTTTTATATAATTTTTTATAAAATTTATTTTACTTTTTATATTATAAAATTACCATTAATTTAAAAACACAAAACATAAAAATTAAATTAAAAAAACTAGTATTACAAAAAATATTTATATAAAAAAACATAACATATGCACACCATAAAGCATAACCTTAAAACATGTAAGCATTTTTGCCTTGGCCCTTTAAAGGCATGCTAAGCAAAAAATGAACAAAAAATGCACAAAAAATTAATGGTTTGCAATTTTGGGTCCCCTTTTTTTTAATCTTTGCTGGCAGCACGTCAGCCATCTTATATGGCGTCCCCGGCAGGGTTCTGTATGAAAGCAGGCTGAAACCCACAGGAAGTGAGCGGGTAAGCAGCACTCCCCATGACCTCTGCATCAGCTCCTGCCTCCAGGATCCTGCTCTCTGTGAGTTTCTGTCCTGATTTCCTTCAGTGGTGAACTGTGATGTGGAAGTATAAGCCAAATAAATCCCTCTCTCCCCAGGTTGGTTTTGGTCATGGTGTTTCATCATTGCAACAGTAATCCTAACTAAGACAGCATCCCTTCCCCAAGGCTTAGGGATCTTTATGGTAGAGGGGGTGGAAAGATGTCAGAGCCAGAGTTGGTGGATAACATCGGGTAAATGATGTTTTCCAGACAAAGCAGGGAAGTTGCATAGGGACTTAGAGCCATTTTGACCGCGTACATAATACTTGCATAAGGTCAGATCAGACAAAAACCCAGAAGGGAGTGATTCTGGAAAGTGGATACAAAATCCCACCACTAGTTGACTGTAGCAAGAGGCTACATAAGGTTACCCGTCAGACCTCCTTGCTGTAAAGGGAGAAGTACCACCAACGTTCCATCTCCTAAAGGGTTCCAAAGGAGACGTCATCAATGACTATTCCCAATTGTTTTTCCAAACAGTCTCTCCAGAAGGATCCTCCTAACGATAATGGAAGAGTCATTCTTTTGTGTGCAGTGTTTATAGCTCATAGGTTGTCTTTGCTTATTCCCCTGTAGTCAGTCATTCCATCCCTGGCCAGTGACACCCCTTCAAAACGCTCCCCACACCAATTCTTAAATAACCAGCTGGCCTTGGATACCTCCCCTGCTTTCTGGGAAAAGTCATTCTTTTCCTGAAAACACTTCCGAAGTGGCTAGTTATTTCCTCCAAGATTTTTTTGTGTGTGTGTGTGTCTGTGTGTGTGTGTCTGTGTGTGTGTGTGTGTGTGTTTACACACATACATGAGTCACATATACCTCCCTTATAGACAGTCTTGCTACTGAATCTTTATTCTTTACTTTTTAAATAACATATTTGTTAATTCTGGTATTTTATATTATATCTATATTTTGATCATATTCACTCCCTAACTTCTCCCAGAGTCACCCCTCTCCCTCACTCAATTTTGAGCCGTCTCCTCCTACCACATAAAACTGAATTCAGTTTCTGCTGGTCAGCTACTCCTGGGCATGGAGCCTGCCCTGGAGTGTATTTGCCTTATCAGGGGTCACATCATTAAATAAAACCGATTGACCTTTACTGACAGGAACTGTATGTCCTTGCATCCTGTTCCTCTCCTGTGCTAGTGTTGGGTCAGTAGAGATGATGTTTGCCTCTGAGACTCGAGACA